CAACTTTTTCAGGGAAGATTTGGATAGAAAGCTCCAAGCAGAAGCTGTTTCAAATCTATTGAGGATGAGTTCTGATCAGGTTGCATTTCTAGGATATGTCACTTCAGCTCCTGGTTCCAGAGATTACAGACAATTAATTGAAAACGGCAACGTTAAGGTATTACAACACTAACAATTTATCTAATGCTTAATTAAAAAAAAAAAATCAAAATCAGTACCAGGACAGATTGGTGGCACAGATATATATTTAAGTCCATGCAATAAATTAAAGAAAACTGTAGATTCATAGATAAAAGACTTCAAGATACTTTAAAACAATTTTGTGCTGTCTTTTTCTCCTTATGTGGTCCTAGTGGTCCAGCTGGATACCAATGAATATGCACAGCTCCTGGATGTTTTTTTAAACAGTTGTGTGGCTGGGAGAGGCCAGCTGGAGTTTTGGGGTTGGGTGGCATCAGTATGCTGATGATATCCAGCTCTATCTCTCTTTTACAACTGATGCCAAGGAAGCTGGGGAGGTACTGAATTGTTGTCTGGATGCAATAAAGGACTGGATGTGGGTGAATAGACCGAGACGTAATCCAGACAAGATAGAAGTGCTGTTGGCAATTTGGGATTAGGGGATTGCAACTTGTTCTGGATGGGGTTGCTCTCCCTCTGAAAGAGCAGGTTCAGAGCTTGGGGGTGCTCATGATAGATCCATACTATCAAATAAAAATACAAATAAAAACCCATGCCCACTTCAAAATGTCTTGCCATGATTATAGAAACTGCTTTCAGTTGTACCACCATATTGTCCAAACTCAATACATCTCTTTACCTACATCCAAGAATTTCCATATCCAGGGACTGCTCTTATATAAAAGCCCTGTGTAAAGCAGTCTCCAGCGTAACATTTTCCAAACTACAGGCCTCTGAAAACTTATTGTGGTAGATATTTTGTCAGATCTGGAAGACATCATTTGTTAACCATTTTTCCTTTGGTTTGTTTTTACTTATGCTTAGGATATTGACAACACAGATTACGACAGGTGGTGTAGTTACATAATGTATCGTGGATTAATAAGGTATGTCCATAAAAGGAATACCTTGATTATTTGCCTCTAGCCCCTTTCTCTGCTGTTCCTCAAGACTGTTCATAACCTATTTCTAGTCCTCACTCTATGACATATTGCATACATTTCAGGAATTGCTCTTGGGGGCTGTGCATTCAGAACATATACTATCAATTCTATAAGAACTGAATGACTGCCAATGTGTTTCTAAGCCCAGTGGAAAGTGCTAGCAATTATCTTTAAAGCTCTAAATTGCTTGGGAGGATCAGTTTATTGAAATATTACTTATACCCTCTGTGGGAAGGAAGAGTCAGCTGAAATAGTCCACCTTTATGGATCTGGATAGTTTTCCGATATTCCAGCTGAGTTCTGCAGATAATTCTTTGGTGATTCTGCCAGTGTCCTAGAACAAGGGGTATCCGGGCCTATAGATACAATCACTCCAAATGTCCTCTGTCAAAACATCTTCTGTCAGATCATCTCTTTGGTATTGTGATGAAATCTGTGAAGTCAAAACTGGAATGCAGGTTTGAAGCTAATGTGATCGAGTGCCACTTTTTTGGTGTCCATACCTGAAGCTGTCCAAACACAAGGAGGTGGGGCAGAGCAAGTAGAAATACATATTCCTTGATGTTAACCAGAGCCCCACACCTGAAGGAGCTGCTGTCTAGGAAGTAATTTCTGATAAAGTATGCATAGGCAGAAGAGTGAGGCAGAGCACCTACTATGCAGTCCTGCCTCTGCAGCAAATTTTCCCTGATGATGAGTTCTGCTTTCAAATCCTATTCAGAAACAGTTAGCTACAGACAGATACCATAAACAGCCTTTTATGGTATAGGATGGCTCACAATCACAAAAGCCAATTTGGAAATCCTGACTGAGCAAAACATTATTTGGGTATTTTATTACATTAGAAATATTATATACCTTTATGGCAGGTTGGGCTATGCTCGAATATCTCATGCTCACCTGAGTGATTCTGAACTCCAGATGGCAACTTTTAGAATCCCAAATGACCCAGATAATTATGCTGACAATGACAAAATCACCATTGACTCCAGTGAAGTTCCTGAAGAAACACACTTCAATTCACGGTTAGTGTATTTTAAACATAAACAATGTGTGACATTTTCAACAGAGTAGCTTGGGAATTCCAATCAGAATCACATAAATGATATATGAGGAATTAATAAATACAGTTTAACAGCCCCATACCTACAATATGGAGTGAAATGACCCCATTTTCTGATTCTGTCAAGGTTGATATATTGAAGAAATAATATGCAGATGTTTAGGTTTTGTGTTTAGTTTTTCCATGTGCGATCTGACTGAAGCTAGTGCAGTACTGGCATATGTGTTTTAATGAAGATGTAAATTTCACTAAATTCAGTGAGACCTATGTTGCTCAAAAGTACCCCCGCCCCCGAGTTCAAGTATGCTCACAGATAACTGTACGTAAGACTGTCCCAAATAACTATATGAAGAAAGAAAGGGCTTAGGCATGAAAAACCTGTAGAAATTAATGACAGGACATCATAGGAAAGATTCAAATTAGATGATTTAATTAAAATCATTTATATTCGTGTTACTAATGAAGTATTAATTATACTATAAAAATGCACGATCAGAGAAAGATTATTATGTTTATGTGATTTAGCAAGAAACATGTTCTTACACAGATTTATTTTGTATAGATTTGGATCTTACAAAGAGGGACACAATTATGAGTTGAATCATCACTTTCACATGAGCACACCAAAGTATTTTAAACACGCTGGCTAGAATGATGATACACCAACACATCTTCAAGAAGGAGAAAATGACAACGACAAAGCTAAAAGAGATCAGAAGCTCCTATTTAAAACTAAGGCACATCTATATGAACATCTCATGGACCAATTGAATGGATTATGTTCATTTGAAGTAATGTATAGTGCAATCCTATAACTATCTCCTCAAATAAGAGTCTCATTTCATTCACTGGGATTACTTCCAGGTAAAGGAGTACAATGTATATACAGAATCACAGACATACAAGGATTTCCCTTTGTCTTTTTTCTTTTCCCTGCTAAAAGAGTATCACACATACTAGACAGTTGTGTTCATGTGTTCTGATTGTGCATCATATACCTTATAAATATTGGATGCAGAATTAAATTTTGTATTCTCTCAGATTTTTTTGACTTCACAATCTAGAAAAAAATGTCTAAATACATTTTCCAGTGTGCGGAGCTTCATCGGTGTGTATTTGCTTTGTCCAGAAGAAGTGATATTTTGTAGAATATGAAAAATGTGCACAATTAATTCAGGTCACAACATTCCATTTGGATTACATCCTGGCACAGAATTTCAGTGCTTAGTATTTTATTGGCTATGCTAGCTAGGAAATTCTGTGTGTTTTACAAAGACTCTCTCAAATGGTTACTATCTGTCTGAAGAAGCTCTGGGTTCTATTAGCCTGAATCCAATTGTTAGTCCTCAACTATGGCATATCTAATGAATCAATGAGAACTTGTTGAATAAATTTTTATATAAGTTTTGTTTATCCAATGGATCTTCTCTAGTTGAGACAAGGATTTAGGCCATAGCATGGTCATGGGTGTCCTCTTGGGAATCCAAAACATGATGTATCAGAATTATAGTGTGACCAAGGAGTAGTCAAATGCATTGCTTAGAAATTTGCTGCATAGTGGAAAAGTCAGGGGAGGATAAACCTCCATCTGAAAGGTAAGACAGCAGGGCCCACTCTTGTAACTTATTATTATTATTATTATTATTATTATTATTATTATTATTATTATTATTATTAAAGTATTTATACCCCGTTCTGTTATAGTATACCTTAAGTTACCATTTTTAGATAGTTTACTGTAAGATGGACAATAAGGAATACTGCATTCTTATGCTTATAAAAGCAAGGAGCTAGTGCTGTGGGTGGCTATGCAACACAATCTCCAAATACCTTGTGAAGCTGTTCCAGCTGGCAGAGGTCCTCTGGTACCTGTTTATCAATTAAGTATTCTTGATTCTTTGTCCCCAAGTGGACTTTTCTATTTTGGTGCATCCTCCATGTATGGGGATTTTTTTGCTCTAGCTAGACTGTAGATTAGAGATATGCACCATGTTCTGTCCATTTACAATATTAGTCTACCCCTCCATGACTTCTTAATAGCACGTGTTCTGTAGAGTATATTTCTATTGCAGATTCATGTAGATGCTATCTTTTGCTCTTATTATATATAGGAATTTGTTGAATGTCAACTGTCAGTTTAAAATATCATATTTGTCTAAATAGCATGGTACAGTTAGTTTTCCCTGAGTCATTACAAACAAATATGAGAGTTTTTTTTCCAGTTTCCAGTATGCTCAAACAGCATGATAAATTACACTAATGAACTTATTTGTATCCTTTCCACTATGAAAATAAATCAGAAACTCTTCAAGAGAAAAAAGGAAAGGGATCTTAAGAAAATTTAAACAGTTTTTTTTTAAAAAAAAGCCATATTACTATAAGTTATACATAATAGTAGCATTAGTGCTCCAATCATGACATACCTGTGTGTAAAAGTTCTACTGTATCAAGCAAGCTGTATTAGCAAGCTAATTTATGGTCACTAGTCTATGAGGGAAGCTCATATGAGAAATCAATGCTATGCAGTGGCATCACTGGTGATGGTGGTGGGTGCTAATCATCTGCATATCTTAAACTGTTGCCTTCCTCTAACTTTCATACTTCCTTCCTCCGAGTCTAATCCTTCTTTACATATTACATGTTC